TCAGGATTTGAAGGAGACTCAGTGGTATCTAATGCAACCCTTAAATGACCGAGAATCTGTTTTACAATTTCCCTGAAAAAGGGTTCTCCAGCCTTGGTTTGGAGACTTCCAGTGATGGGGAGCTCACTACCTCCTCAGACAGCCTTATTTTGGGGGGCCTCCACACTGTCTTAATGTGTTTGTTGACGTCTTTTATTTTTAATATCATGGTCATTTGAATACTCCCCCTTCTAGATGGAACCAACCCTTGTGACAAAGACAAACAACCAGACAAAGCCGTCTGGCATGTGACTGCACCTGACAGAATAGCCCATCTTCACTGCCTCTCTGCCCCACTGCTGGGGGGGGAGGGGGCGGGGAGGCTGCTTGCTTGCTTTCCCAGAGGTCACCTTCTTTTCCGTGACCTCTTGTGTGCATTACTACAGGTACTGTGTCTATTATTCTCCTAGCTCTCTTTCCTTTGCTCTGCATCTGCTCACACAAATCTTCCCATGTTTCTCTAATTCCTCCCAGTCCTGCTGTCTTGCTACACAATAATAACTCATTAGAGTCATGGGCACGCCGTAGGTTTTCCACTCAGTCCCCAGTAGCCCGTGCTTCCTTTGTTTATGCTCCCTGGAGACCACATAAGGTGGCCTTGGATATTTTGGCAGGTGTCAGAGCCATGTTTCTGTCTTTGACTTCCTTGGCCATGTGCCCAACAGAGGGATGGTGGGGTCAAATGGCATGGACAGTCTGATGGTTCAAATTGTTGGGACGTTTTTCTTGACGTTAATCCTGAATGAGCCTCTTTGCAGCTCCCACTTATTGTGTATGGGTCTGCCCTCTGGGGCCAAGGAGAATAAGGCTGATACTGTGGGTATAGGACTGGCCTTCATACATGCTCATGTCCCCCCCCTTTTATCTCTACTGAACACCCTTCAGCCAGGCCTCACCTGGCTTGACCTCAGCCCTTCACCATCCCGGAAGCCCTTCTGTGAAAAGACCCCAGCTGGTCACTATCCTTCTTAACAAGCAGCTGCCCAAGCTCATGCACGCCCCCCTCCCCCCAGTAGGCATGGGCTCTGGTGGGCTGTGGCCCCTTGTACCATACTTGAATCCAGCTAAATGGGCCTGAGCTACTCCCTCCCCCCAACTCAGTCGGCCCTCTCTGCTCCTTTACTCCCATCATGCCCTCTGCCTGGAATACCAATAATGAATAATAATAATAATAATAAGTAATTATAATACGCTAACATCTATATAGCACTCTACAGTTTGCAAATCACTTTGTATCCATCCATCCATCCATCCATCCATCCATCTCTATCTCCATCTGTCCATCTATTTTTATCTATCTTCATCTATGTATCAAATATTGATCTCCACTTATCTTTATCTATATATGTATGCATGTATCTATGTAGGCATGTATCTACGTACATATATATCTATGTGTATGTATCAATGTATCTATGTATGCATGTGTGTATGTGTAGGTATGTGTATACGTATTATCTAAGTGTGTATGTATGTATCAATGTATCTATCTATGTATGTATCCATGTGTGTATGGATATATCAATGTATCTACGCATGCATGTATCTATGTGTATGCACATATCTATGTGTATGTATGTATGCGTGTATGTATGCAAGCATCAATGTATCTATCTATGTATGTATCTATGTGTATCTATGTATCAATGTATCTATCTATGTATGTATCTATATGCATATGTATGTATCAATGTATCTATCTCTCATGCAATTCTCGTAACCCCGGGATGTAGGTACTATTACTAGCCTCCTTTTCTAGAGGTGACAAGAGGGTAAGTGACTTGCCCAAGGTCACACAGCTAACATCCCAGGGCCTGAGGCAGGCTTTCAATGCAGGTCTTCCGAGGCCCAGCCCAGCCCAGCAGTCTGTGGGGGGCAGCACTGGGCTGCCTGTGAGCCCCCAAGGCCCTGCCTCCATGGGAAGGCTGCCCTCAGTTCCCCAGTCTCAAGTGGGCCTTCTCTTCTTCAGGTTTCGGGGAGCTCTTCTGGGGACCCTCCCTTCAGACTGTATCTGCCTGGCTGTCACTGTCCAGGTGATGTCTCAGCTTGCCCGAGAGGCAGCTTCCTCAAGGCGGGTCCTGGGGCCTTGACCTTGGCTCGTGCTCAATAAGTGTCTGGTGACTTGGATGCTGAGCCTTCTGCCTGACCCAGAGGCACTAGGGCACAGGTTGGCATGTGGGTGGTATGACCCTGGAGTCAGGGGAAGCCCGTGGAGGCCCCTCTGATGTGTTTCTTTGGTTCCATTTTCTCAGAATGATGTTTTGGCTGGCCTGGGTCCCATTACAGGCATCCGCAGAGCTGAGCGTGGCAGCTCTCAATGGGCCCATGTTCCACATTCTGGGGTCCTGCGTTTGGCTGGGGTGTACAGCCCAGACTTCCCACAAGGCCGGGAGCCCCCAAGCACCATCCTCAACCCTTTGGCCTAGGAAGTGACCAGGGCCTGGTGGTGGGAGGCCATCCCTGCTGCCTCAGGCTCGGGCCCTTTGGCCAGACTGAACCAGAAACGCTCCACCAGGGTGGAGAAGCAAGTGATTACCTCTGAGGCGGTGCCACCCTTGGGGCAGTGTGGGCCGGGAGCCCCACACTTGGAGTCAGAGGCCCTGTATGATCTTGCCACGTTCCTCCCTGCTCTCTGGGCCTCAGTTTCCCCCTCTGTCAAATGAAGGGGTTGAGTCTAACGATCTCTAAGCTTTCTCCCAAATTTGGACTCCTCTGCTTTCCCAGTCTGCCTGGAGCTCTAGGGCCAAGTGGGGAGCCAGGGATTCTGACCCAAATAGAGAAGGGCAGGGGGAGATGTCTGGCAAAGCACCTGCTGACTGTCCCACCTCTGACACCATGGATCAGCCTCTTGGTTGGGCACTTGAGAGAGGTACTGAAGCTCCCATAGACAGATGTCATCCGACCTCTGACCTAATCCAGTTATCCCCTGTCATTTCCTCTTCAGGCTGGCCCCCAGCCCCCAGCTTGGATCTCTTCAGGGACGGGGAGCTCGCTGCCTCACATGGGAAGGAAGCAATCTGCTTCTGGCTGGCTTTGGGGCCTGTGTGAAGAGGTCCAGGCCCTGCCTCTCCCCCAGCCCTGAGTGTGACTGTTTGTCAAGGATGAGTCTTCTCGATAGAAGCTTATCGTGTGCAAACAGAGGTTGGGCTAGGCATTGTAGAGAAGGCAGGCCACTGGGCTCCACTTCCTCAGGCAAACAAGCCTGGCTTCTTCAATGGAGACATCTGTGTGTGCTGAGCACCCCCACCCCCACCCTAGGGAAGGTGCTCTGCGCTCCGGAGCAGCTGCCCCTGTCGTTTTCCCAACAGCATTTGGTGTGGGCTGGACTTCCGGCTGCCTCTGGTCTCTGCAGGAATGGGTGGGCGGCTGCCAGGCGTGCCAGGGCTCGTGGGGAGCTCATTCACTGGGATTCAGGGGGGTGGGGAGGGTCAGAGCTCTGGTTCCACTCAGCATGGGGCCATCCAGGCTGGAGCAGGGAGGAGCTGGGTGTGAAAGCCGGCTCCATGTTATACCAACCCTGGGCAAGTCCTTCCTGAGCCTCCACTTTCTACTCTGTAAACTGTGGCTGTGGCTAGACTGGGGGCAGCGAAGATGACATGAGGAGGTTCTGCCCTCACATTCCTGACAAGCAGTCTGCTTGAAGTCCTCGGTGACAGAAGCCCTTCATCTCCATTTGGAGCTCAGTTGGGGCTGGATCCTGAGAGCCCCAGCCCGGGAAGGCAGCCGTCAGGGACTAGGGGAGAGGGCTGCTGGGGATTCAGCGGCCCTGGGTTCTGTTCCTGCTGCGACAGGCATCATTTAGGTCCACTGGGGCATGGTCTTCTTATCTGTGCATTTTTATCGGGGGAGGACAGGAGGCACATGGGGGTCTCAGATCCATTTCAGCTTGCAGTCACAGTCCAAGCATCCCTGCTGTCAAATGGCAGCAGCCAGGGCCACGGGTGGGGCTATGGGCAGAGGCTGAGCTGGCCTGGGGGGCTGGCCTCCAGGACCTTGGCCTCAGTAGGCCTGGACTCAGGTGCCTACATGGGCCACAGGAGCACCAAGGCCAGGGTCACTGACCCGGGATCCAGGATTTGGCTACAGGCTTCAGGCACTAGCCTCACCATTCTTCCTGGCTATCAATGTCAAGTCACTTCTCAGATGTGGGTGTCTGCATTGCCTGACAGCCTGGCTCCTTAGGGACTCCCCTCCTAAATGTCTCCCCTCAGGGCTGGAGGGTCTCCCTTCCTCCCCCAAGCTTCAGGTGCTGGAGGGTCTCCCCTCCCCCCCCCAAGCCCCTGGTGCTGGAGGGTCTCCCTTCCTCCCCCAAGCTCCAGGTGCTAGAGGGTCTCCTTTGCTGCCCCCCCTCCCCAAGCCCCTGGGGCTGGAGATGGCTGGTGGGTAGAGAAGAGCCTCTAACAGCCACATTTTGTCTTATAGTGTGCTCCCACAACACCGGTTGCACGTAGTTCCCTGACGGGAAAGTTCTGCAATGAAAACTGATTTTGTTGGCACAAGGGTGTGCCCAGCCTGACTTCTTTTGCCCAAGAAGGCCCAGTGTGCCCTCAGTGAGGAGCTCTCCAGGCCCCAATGCCCACCTCCTCTGATCACTAGGAGCGGGTTTCCAAGAGGGGCTCAGCCTCCCATCCACCATCACCTGCTGGGTGCCTTTGGGCAAAGGACTTACCCTCTCTGATCCTCAGCTCTCCCAGCTGTCAGCTAGGGAGGTTGGACCAGATGGTTTCTAAGGAGAACCTCCTAGCTCCCAGACCTATGTTCTGAGGGCCCTCCCTGCCCTGACATTTCATGTCCTATGTTCTAGGGTGCTTCTCAGCTCTGACATTCCATGTTCTAAGGACCCACATGTATAACATGGTGCTGTGGCCTCACTCTCCTTTCCTTCCACCCTGCCCCTCTCCTGGTGTCAGAGGAGGGATTGTGTCTGGCCCTGGTGCCCACAGGGCACCTGTGACACTTACCATCTGGAGAACCCCGAAGTAGGACATGAGGTACCCGGCTTGTGCGGCCTCCAGCTCGAAGAAATTCATGGAGATGATGGAGAACATGATCATAAAGAGCCCTGGGGAGTGGGGGAGGCCAGTGAGGAGCTGAGCTGGGAGGGAGGCTGGGGGAGGGAGCCAGGACCAAGGGGAGCATCCGGGCCTCTCACGACCACAAGAGCGCCTCCCTCTCCTCACAGCCTCTCTGGGCAATGCAAGCATTATTATCACCCCCTTTTCCAGAGGAAGAAACTGTGACCCAGAAGGGAAAGGCCTTGCCCAAGATCCATCCCTCAGTGGCAGCTGTGGGACAGAAACCAGAGCTACTTCCTCAAGGGAGCGTCTACACCCGCCCTGAGCAGGAGATGTCCTGTTCTGGTCTGAAGACCTCCGTGGGGGGGGTGGGAACTAGCTTTGGAGGCAGCCAAGACCACCCGGAGAAGGCTTCAGTTCTAGGGAGGGTCTCCTAACATCCAGCCACCATCTGCCCCTGGTCATTACGCAGCCCTACCCAGTGCCTCTTCCTCGAGGTAGCCTCACAGATGCTGGGTAACTGAGGACCCTCCTCTCGTCTATAGGTGCAATCTCTCCCTTCCCTTCAATGTATTGTCACGTGACACGAACCTGAGTCCCTTCATCTTCCCGGCTGCTCTCCTCTGAACTTATGCTCGGGGCTTGTCTCACAAGCTTGTTAGAATTGTTTGAAGAATAAGGGTAAATAAGTGGTGAGTGAAGGCCCACGGGGCTTAGCCATGAGGAAACTTTGGTCCCTGCTTCTCTACCAGATATTTTACGGCTCAGAAATATTTCTGGTGAATGTCCCGGCTCTAGGCGACCCTGAAGAAGGAGCCATGTGGCCCCGGGCACCAGAGAGGTGACGGGGGCTGTGTCCCTTCTTAGTATTCACACAAACACATACCACACATGCTCACACACACACACACCATACTCACACACAAGCACACATGTACACACACTCCCCCACAATGCACACCCATGCACACACATATACCACACACAC